GAGCGTACTTGCAATCAGTGATGGGGAGGAGTGAGAGAGGGAAATTGAAACCTAAAAGAGAAAGTGAGTTGGTGAGAGGATTAATCCCCACCGTTCATCTTATTAAAGAATAATGCAGGGGATTAAACACCTACTTCAAAAATGTATTTTATATATATGTATATACAATTAATAATATATATATATATATGTGTGTGTGTGTGTGTGTGTGCAAGTGCATGTGCGTTTTTAATAAAATAAGGTTGAGTCAGAGTCAGGGTCAGGGTCTTGGTCGGGTCGACTTGGACCCGGACCCAAACGGAATTCAAGTCGGGTCCAAGATCTGGACCCAGCTTGACCCGCTGGGTCCAAATCTTGGACCCATACCTGGACCCGGGCTGGGTTGACCCACTAGACCCAATTGCCACCCCTACTCTAGACACCATTTGACTATAGTCCATGCATAAAATTCACATTGATTCTTGGTAAAGCCCTCTCGCAAGCCACGTACTAGTTCCATTATACCTATCTCACAAAGGCCTAAACATTGCCCAAGACTCCATAGCCTCCAAGCCACTTTCATGGGCTGATCATAGTCCCGTTTCTCCACTAGATCAGCCACCATTTGGTGTCCATTGGAGCTTCATAAGCAGGGTCACAACATACCTCACTATGCACCCCACTTGCATGGTTGGTTGAATTGATATTGGCCTTCAATTTCTCCCATTGAGTGGCATGCCAAAGCCAAGGAATACCAGCCCACTTTGATCACATTCATGTCAGCCCTTTGCACGACTTTGGATGCTTGTTTAGGGTGTCATCTTGGAGCTTCCCACCAAATTGAGCAAGGACCTTGATCCGTGTGTTATCAATCATTGTCATCTGGCAAATGGGTGTGTGGGGTCCAATTGAGGTAACTTTGGGCAATTTGCTTTATTTGGCTTCTCACAGTTCTCAGGTGTTTGGTGTTTGATTTTGTTTGTGAGATTGCAAAATGTGTCCATGTATTTATGTTATGGTCATGTTCTTTGTAATTGGTTGCATGCAATAGTTGCATTGACATTGTTAAGTAGAGATTGTCCTGTGATTGCAACTCTACTTTTTAATTGAATGGTAAAGAAGTGTCGGGCCAAGCTGGGGTGGTTCTTTGGCCTTCATTTTAGTTGTAATTGAGTTTGTTGTGGATGTCAAATGATGTGTATGCTGCTGTTTTTGTATGTAATTGGCAATTGTAAGTAGACTAACTTGATGCTTGATTGAAAATTTTAAAAAGTTGACACCTGGCAAGGTCTACAAACCAACCTAAAAAGCAGCCCAATCTGGTCAGACTTCAACTAGCTGAACCTCAGCAGCAGAGATGGATGAGATGGGATCAGGGGTTGTGGTAAGTGCAGGAGGACACCTCTAGCATGAACGGAGGGGTCCAAAGCCTTCCAACTCGGAGGTCATGAGTACAACAGAGTAGGGGCTGCTTGAGTCCGATGGAGGGGTAACACAAGTGAGGAACCGCATATTTCAAACTGGAATCGTGGCCTGCAATCCAGATTGCCAGCTGGGCTAGATATTTCTTTGCTGAATCGGTTGTATCACTCCATGTGGCATCCTTTGATAGTTAACCTATCTTTGATGGCGATCCATCTTTTTGCTACATCTGCATCACGTGTCTCTGATTCCTGTTCCTCCATTTGATGGGGTGAATTCCAGTAATGTGTCCTGTGGACTACCGTCTCCAATCAACCATGGTCTGTGGCATATGAATGATTATTGTATTCCTCGATACTGTGACCCTACCATGAATGATTAGTGTATTCCCTGATACTGTGCACACCATGGTGACCATCGAAAAGCATACCAGAGTTTGGCCTCCCTATTCAGCTTGATCTATGGTAATTTCAAAGCGCATCTCAGCTACATGCATGTCCATTTTTTAAATGACTATGTGACTGAGTTTGAACTAAGAGGGAAGCAATACAAGCTCATTGAATGACCAAAAAATCTTAATATCACCATCAAAATTGTTGTACTGTGTGAACCAATGAAATAACAAACAAATAATAAAATTAATCAAACTTGTGTATACAAAGAGATGTAATTTAAGGGTTATTTGTACCAATCAATACGCGTTAAAAAATCCCAATATTAGAATGTTATCCCTAATTTCCACCTACCTGAATCTTTAGCTGTGATTGAATTACTCTATCTTGCTCTTTGCAATGATACTTCTGGTTTAGGGAAAAGAAGATTTCACTGGTTTACTCTTCCTCTTTTTTGAGGAAATATGGTTTTTGGGAGAGTGTTATTTTTCCTGGAATATGTTGGAAACAATTTAATAAGTTTTTCTTATTTCTTGGGAATATGCTTTTGTTGATGAAAATTTGATGAAATGTTAAATAAAAAATCTTGATTTAATCTCATTCTTAGTAAACTTATCTCGAAACTAAAACTCTCAGTAATCCAAACAAGAAGCAAAAGGAATTCAAGAAAGTTTAAAACTGAGCACAGTAAAAATTAAAAAGCGAAAAAGATTTTTTAGAAATTATTTATTTCAAAAAAGGAAAAAGTTGATTTATATCAGTTATTCCAAAAAAATGTGTTTTTTTTTAATGTTTTGAAGAACTCGAAAGTTTTTTATAGATTTCAAAAAATCTCATATTTTTTAAAAAAGATCTTGTTTTAATCTTTAGACTTGCTAACTATGTTCTGAACTCATCTCCTGGGCCACTTCCAGAGTGCATAGGCTGATGCTTTTTCAGCATTTGGGCAAATAAGGTTTGTAGACTAGGCCAGATGTTGGTCGGTAGTGGCTGGGACTGGGTTTGGCTCTGACGGAGAGGAAAGCTCACCTGGTTGGGGTCATTTTTGGAGTTGGGTATGCTTTGTGCAACCTTCTGCAACACTTGGTTGGATGAGGTGGCTGAATTGGCGGTTTCCCCATTGATAGATTTTATGAGATGGACATGGACATGGTTCTTGTAGAGCTTTGCGAGGGGCCATGCATTTTTGTTAGGAGTTTCCAGAGAATCATACTGAGTCCTATCCTTCCGAGAGGGGGACCTGATCTCTGTGGGAGCCATGGGAACAATCCTTCTTTGTTGATGGATGCTAATGATATGAAGCCATTTGTTTGGCAGAGCCATGTATGTCTTGCCTTGTTTAGGGACTGAGCCCAGTTTGAGGGTATTGGGGCAAGACCAGGGTAAGTTGCCAACATAATTGGGAGGATATGGGGCAGAGGGTCCAGCAGCATATTCCTTCTCTACTAGAATAGAAGTTTTCCTTCAAAGTTGCAGTGCAAGAGGTTTCGGAAGCGATCATATGGTTTCTGACTGTTGCTGTACTGTGGAAACCTTAATTTCACTTGCTCTGGTTTTCAAGACCTTTGTGAAGTGATTATTCTAAGACATAAGCTTTGAGCTATGAGTTCATTTTTGTTTATCATTGAGTCATTTCTACATTCCACTGTCCCTCCATCACCATCCAACCCATTTGATTGATTTGGTGATAATCCTGGTATCTTGTCCTATGGATCAGAATATATTTTTTCAAACACTTCTTGTAATTTTGGGAATTTATGAACACACTTTTTATACTTTTCTGTGTCCTGTTATAAACTAGGGATATCTGGCTTACACTTCTATCGCATTCAATGTAACTTAATAGAAAAAAAAGTGTTTTCTGAAATAATTTTTTTTTTCTGGTCATGCTTTGCTCTTTTTGCCCCTTTTCTAAGTTGATCTAAAATCAACTAACAAGATGTATTGTTGAGACCTTCCTAGATTTAGATTATTTCAAGTGCAAAGTCTCTTTATATTCAGATTTTCAAGTGAAAAACCTAAAAAATTACAGCAAACACCTGTAATAATCAGTATTCTCCTTGTAAGTGCCAGTCCTTTGTTGAAATTTTTTGGTTTTTTTTTCTCTTCCTCTCCCCTTTCTTTCTTTAATATCCTCACTAAACGAGCAGGTTTTGCATGGGAACCCACCTGCTGTATTAATGTCAGAGTGTCTGCATTGGGCTCAAAGAGTATAAAGTCTATGGTTTACATTCCAGCTGTGAGCATGAGTGCAAGACTACCTATGATGATGCTTAACTCTATACTCTAATTCGGAATATTCTATGATGTAATACTGATTTGCATATATTCTAATTTGGGAGATTCTATTATGTAATACTGATTTGCATTTTATCTCGTTACTGCCAATTCTGCCTGGTGTCATGCCGAGTGCCGCTCCCTCTCTCCTGCACCTAGGCACTTGTGCCGGAGGCACAAGATGGGCACCCTTGCCCTCTCCTCTGGTAACACCATGCTCAAACCCCTTCCCTGAGTGTGTGGACAATGCATGAGTGGTAGCATCATCTGTTGAGAATTCAAAACAAACGTTTGTCAAAGCTATGGGTCTTCTTGGTGTTATTATAGTTTCCTGCCATTACTCCCAGAAACCTCGGTAGTTAGTAATATGCCCAAAGTTGTCTTGTCAAGACGCTGTCTAGTGGATGATTGTTAGTGTTTTTTAGTGGTTACAGATTCTTTTTATTTTTTTCCCTCTGGCTATTTGTAGTGGAAATCCTGTTCACAAAGAAGCTAACTGTGTTGCTGATAAATTGAAGTTACGAGTGTAGCTGGGGAAGGGATTGGCATTTGGATTTTTGCCACTGGAGTTGTTGATGTACTGTCCTCTTTCTTTCCTTCAAACTTGAACATTTTTTATTTTAACAATAAATCAACGTACTTCTTTTGGTATGGTTAGCTCATTGGACATTTTCTGTTGCTTTGCTTCTTGAAGTTACTGCACATGGAAATGGGGATTTATCAGAAAAGAACAAATATGGAGATTGCTTGAAACATTTGCGCAATGCTATGAGGAATGTGGAATGGAACTTTTAAATGCTTGTTGTTATATTAAATGTTTCTGATCTTTGATCTTGAGGAAAATGCACGTGGCTTCATTACCTAGTATATGGAAATGTGGTAGTTAGTTCTCAATTCATTCAGTGGTACTGCTTTATCGGTTTGTTTCAGATGCAACTCAACTCCCACAAGATGTTCTTATCCACATATTCAGTTTCCTGGATGGACGGTCTTTGGTCTCTGCTGGACTTGTGTGCTGGTGTGCCCCTATTAAGAACCAGAACTAAATCTCCTGTTCCGGTTTCATTTTGCTTGGGTAATAGTCCCTTACAAATAATGTTTTATTTTTTAGGTTATGGAATTCAGCAGCAAGTGATAACAAACTGTGGCGATCACAATACACCCGCCTTTTTAATGACATTGAGTTATATTGTGCTGAAGAAGGGAAACGGCAGGATCCAAATTCAGAGAAGCCAACAAATACCTTTAAAGAAGAAAAAAATGTGGATTCAAGTGCAAATATTAGTTGGAAAGAGGCTTTTAGGAGTAAATATGTAGGTATGTTTACTTAATCCTTCTAAAGAATGTGACACATACTTTAATTTTATTCTGTGAGCCATCTATAAGCAGCGTGAATGGTTCTTGTACATGTTTTCTGCAATGTTAATTGCCTTTCGGGATTGTATGTTTTCCAGACCTTCTGGAATTGTCACAAAATGCTGGACCCAACAATCCAGCATTTTAGGTTGATTTTATTCTATATTTTTCGAGCAACAATTATCTGACAGGCTTATGAAAATGAAATTAGAGAATAATTTGGAAGGTCCATACGACATTGTTATACTTTCCACACCTCTTCATTATCAAGTTTCCAGATTTGAAAAGATTGTTTTGGAATCCAAACATTCAAATAGACTGTATTTTTTTTGTTTTGCCTTTTCCAATTTGAAGATCATAGTTCATGTTCTCCTTTCTCTTTTTTAAATCATAGTGGTTTCAGTTGGGTTGACTACTTTTCTCTCTTGTTGCCACTCTATTAATGCTGTTATATGCAATCTCAATAAGAAACTTTATGTTGCCTATTCAAATAATTCAACGATCACATAAGTGATTGTTATGTCATACTTGAAATATCTTATGCTTCTACATATTGTGCGTAGTATGATGTTATTAGGACTGGACCTATGATTAAACTGGTGAAGGCATTGGTTTGGTTCGACCGGACTCATTCACCTGTTAGGAGATCACATAATTTAAAAATAAAAAAGGGAAAAATGCAAAAAAAAGAAGACTAAAAATAGAGAAAATTATGAAAAAATCCAGAAAATTTAGAAATTCAGAAAAATTAAATTACTTGGAATAAAAAAAATTTTAACACACCATAATATTGGGAAAAGGGAAAAATAACATTATAGTTCACATCTCCTAATCTGCACATTCCATGGGCCACACCTTGGTACAAACTACAAATTACGCTACTAAGTCCTATGTATTTCCTACGTATTTTACTAAAATAAATTAATATTTTTCTTTTTCATTGTTATCTCCTTCCGCTTCATGTACATCACCTTCCTCATAATTAAATTCCATCCCCAATCATCATGTCCACCTATAAAGTTGCAAAGGAAGTTATCAATGTTTCAATTTAGAGTTTCAACTCTTTTTTTTTGAACAGGCTTTTCTTGTTTTAGCTAAATTATAGATACCCCTCCAATTTGTACTTTCTAGGCATATGTCCCCCACCCACCCACCCCACCAAAAAAAAAACCTTTTATACCACAATTTAACCCTAACACTGTTTTTTTTTCCTTTTGCACCCATCCCCCTCTAAAAAATCCATTGTTTCTATTTTTCCAAATGTGAACAAATAATAAAAGAAAAGGGGATGAAAGGTTTGAATTAGTGGGATCGATGGCCTGAATCACACCGTCAAATGGTCAGATTATTGCTCGAAGAAATAGGTTTTTCAGTTGGGGTGGTGGGCATTTTTTGAGAGAGAGAGAGAGAGAGAATTGCCAAAACTTGTTTTCTTAAAAATTTCATTCTAACCCTCAACCCCTCCCAAAGCATGTAATGTCCAAAATACCCATTTACATTTTAAAAAATGGGTTTCTTCATTATTTTCTGCCCCCATCAGGACTGGGAGGTTCAATCGTGGACTGGCCAATCCACTAGTTCACCAGTTCGACAAGCCGGTTGACCTGTCCAGCCTCGATTCACTGGACAGGCCAATCCAAAGGGCTGGGCCGGACTGGTTTGAGCATTGGTTCACTAGTCCACCAGTCGAACCGGCCAGTCCTGTCCGGTTTTTCAATCCCTTTTTAGTTTGCAATGAATTTTTCATAATGAAAATTAACATTTTGTTGCTATTTAGTTTAAAAATAAATTCACTATAACTATTTATGCATGGTTTTAATAAATGGGATCAGGATTCACTTTACTCCCATTCCAATTGGCTCAGTAAGACTCAAGCCTTACTATAATAAGTTGAGCCCTAACGAAACTTAGCGGCTCAGAGTTATCCTAAGGTCGATTGGCCTGGTGAGTCCCAAGTCAACCAATTGTGTTTCTAAACTGTTCTTTTGCATGCATGAACAGTTTATTGTCATGCATTTTTTATTTTCTAACTTGCTCACTTCCATGTCATTTTACTCTCTTGCTAGGAAAATCGTCGAGGAGTTTTGCATCAAACAGGGGCTATTGTTGCAATTGCAGATCTGTAATTTGGCTCAATGATATGAAATGTTCAAATCTTCATGGAATTTCAAAAGATGGAGATGCTCAATGGAAAGTAAAACCAATATCACCTTCAGAGGTAGCATGGCATATTAAATTGATGTTATGTGGGTGCATCATTTATAGCATACAGAGACTGGGATGGGTTATTGATCTTATGATTCATCAGATAATTCTGTCATATTGTTATATGCAGTTTTATGTACTCCATCTACAATATACTGACTATAAAGTATGTGAACTTTTTGATGGTGAACTGCATAACCTTTTGGGCCATTGTTGAAATCTCAATAATTGATTTTTTTATATTTTTGTTGATGATCATTACCATTGGTATTAACTGGTAGATGTTTCTTGGTCATGTAGCATTGTCAACTGATGGATTCTAGGTTTCTGAGGTGTGGATTCTCTTGAAGTGAATGTGTGGTTCAGACAATCCTTTGCCTATTTATCGATTTGGGTGTTTTGTGGGCAGTGGATTGGAGAGGGTTGGTATGCTGATAGGTGTTATTGACTCCCTAGGAAACCTCGGATTGAACCTTGGTTATTCTTTTTGTGGAAAACATGATGAGGTGTAGGATAAGAAATAGGAAGACGAAATCACCTTACCTGCCATATAGCTATCTGACTCCAGTACGTATGGAATAAATTGGCCTGTATTCTACCTTAGTATTTGATTTGGAAGTGCTCTCTTGATGTCAATCTAGAGACTAAATGGTAGCTTTATTAATTGTGCTTCAAAACAATTTCAAGATTAGTATGGACTATTTCATTGGTTTGTCTTTTGTAGTCCTGGGGTTGTTTTTGCTTTGTGGTCATGGGATCATAAAATGTTAACACCCAAAGACCATTATAACAATTGAGATCCCAAGGCCTACCTTATACCTCACGACCCTCTTTTTTTCTTCTCTCCACCTTTTTGGTGATGTGAGACTAATTAACGTTCTAGTACCAAGGGCTGACACAATTCTCATGTGACATGTGCATGATCTCATGTATGACATTGACATCATACTCATTTTATACATGTCAATTGGGGAGAGTATGTCTTGAGCCCCTTGTTTCCATGGTCTTAACCCATTTCTTCTTACTTAGACGATGATTTTTTCTTTCTTACTCTCTCGCTAAAGTGTACGAGCTTTTGTTCGTATGGCATGCTACATGCTTCCTGCTGTTTTATCAGGCATTTATGGTAGCATTTTAATCATCGAATTTTAAGAAATGCGAGATTGTGTCTCATTTGCAGTGAGAGACACTTGTTATTATTTGCGAATTATTGTTTCCAATTGAGGTTTATTGGTATTATTATCAATTGGAAGACATGCAAGTATTTGGTGTTGTGGTTTTCTTCAAGTCATTTGAGCATGTAATTCAGAGACTCAAGATAAGTTTTTCTGATTTGGCTGTAATGTGGGGGTGTACTCGTGGGGACTGATTATGCCTAGGAGAAATTAAATATTATTGTTATTTGATGTCAAAAAATTAAGGATATCATTGTGTCCTCATTAGCTACAGTTGTCCTTATTAGCTAAAGTCGTATGAGATTTTTGGGAAAGAAATTATATTTGGGGCTTGGTAAATCTATAACCATCTCCATATTGGAATGGGAACTCATGGTGAACTCATGGTGATCCCTCCCCCAACAAGTGGGAAACTGTTGAGGGCTTAGGAGCTAATCCCAGAGGAGGCTTCATACTGGCCAAGTTGGTTGAAGATAAGCTCTCATGGGTGCCTAGTGACTGTTCGGAAGTCACATCAAAAAGTGCTCTTGAACTTATAAGAAGGCATGGAACCAAAAGCAAAACACTCAAGAACATATGAGGAAAACTGGTACACCCTACTACCTCGTGGTTCACATGGGTAGCTTATCAAAAAGGCTTCTCGCCGCTGATATAGTGCAAAAATGGGGATTTCATGAGTGTAATAGTTGTTTCTTACAACAGTTCAATATCAGAGATCATGATCATCTCTCTTTTTTTCTCTGAGAATATTTAATGTAAAGAAAATTACAGTTCATAAATGCTGCTGTTTGTACAAAAAGTTGGGCAGCGATGCCTGCTGGTTTCAGAAGGGAGAGAGAGCGAGAGAGAGAGAGAGAGAGAGAGAGAGAGATTTCCCAAATATCTGGATGAAGATGGATTGCAAACTCCAAGGAAGCTTTTGAGCTCCAAGCTTTGACATTTTGGGAACCCCTCTCAACATGGAGAGAGCGTCCCCAGCTACTGTTAGACAGCGTTATACCTCCTTGTAAGGCCTGTGCTTCAGGAACTGTATAGTTTGTGGTCCCAATAAGACCTGAGAATGTTAGTTGAACCTGAGATGCATGATCTTGGAAGCCCCACAATCCCTGCCAGGCAAGGGTTGCCGAGTGAGCAACTGTGGAAGTTCAGATTGATAACTCTCGGCACCAGAGAGGACCAATGAGTGGATCACTGTATTCATGGTCCTAGTTTGTAGGACTGCTTTCCAATTTGTCAGAAAGTCCTCCACTGAGAAAAACCAAAAAGCATTATGATTTCTTGTCCAAACTATCACTCGAGCAACAATTTTATTGGTCGCTTTCTCAATATGTGGCATTCGATCATTGAATATCCGAGGATTGCGTTCTAATTAGCTATTCAATTTGTAGCCATGAGCATGGCCTGGCACAGAAATTGGCCCATGGAAGGGCAGGGGAGAAGTAAGGTAAAAACAATTGTCCCACTTACCATGGGTCACCCAACACCACCCAAATCACCACAGCATATAGGATGACATTTTAATTGCTCCCTAGCAGTGTAAGATAGGTGGTTGATCAATTCTTCCTCACTCTTGCACATAGTAAAATGATAAGGCAGGGGGATCCCTCTATGCTGCAGCCGGTCATGTGAATGCCTTCTTGGATTGGATCGCCCAACTGAGTGAAACGAGTGGCTATGTGGAACTCAAGGTAGTAAATTCAACTTTTTTTCTTATTCAATATACCGAAATTCCACTTACATGGGTCACTCTACACTGTTGCAAATCAAAATTAATATCCTAGACACAACCTAGGATCTTTACTTTTACTTCCAAAGTAAATAAAAAACATCTAGAAGCGATAAACAATCCTCCATTATAGTTTCGAGTATAATATAAGTTCCTGAAAATTCACAGAAAAATATATGAAATATGACTGAAAATTAATTAAATCTACTGGGAAGCCTCATGAGATGATGCTTAGAGTCACCCTCACTGGGCTTGATACATCCGATTCACTGACTGATGGCACACTTTTTGTTCCTTTTGATCTTGCTAAAATTTAGAGATGGGAAGCTTTCACATGCAATACCTCTTTCTCTAGGGTTTTAGAGAGCATGGAAACCTAACTAGTGTTTGTAAGAATCCTTGAGAACAAATTAGGGCTGGGCTTGAAGGCATAGAATCGTCTTATGGCTGGGCATACCCTTTTTTCTTCTCCAAATAGTAAAACCGTAATTAGGGTTTCAATGTGGCACCCTTGTCTTATCAAATTTTGGTGGCATGGCCCTTTTCAGAAGGGAGGAGGGAGAAAAATGGCTTTTAATGATGAGAGAGATTTGTTTCATGGAGGAGAGAGAACTTTGTGTATTGCATATCCAATGACACAGCTTGACCTATATGTATTGCATATCTAATGTCACAGCTTGACTTATGTATTGCATATCCAATGACACAGCTTGACCTATGTATGGCGGAGAGAGAACTTTATGTATTGCATATCCAATGATACAGCTTGACCTATATATGGAGGAGACCTATATATGGAGGAGAGAGAACTTTATGTATTGCGTATCCAATGACACAGCTTGACCTATAGGAACTTAGGAAGTCTATGGGGTGAAAGAGAAAAAATCTGAGTCATCCATCCCATAAATCAGCCATCATGATTTTCGGTGGAAATTAAGAACTTTATTTCCTTATAATTTGACCCAAGTCCAACTTCTAGTTAAATTAGAATTATAACCCCAAAACTTCCTAATATCTTTCTAAAATCTGTAGGAAGTCAAAATAATTAGAGTTTTGGTCAAACCAAACTCTTAATTAAAACAATATTTATTTTTAAAACTCCCACTTAAATAGGGAACAAATCTATTTTAATTTTTTTAAAAGGATCCCTAGCTAACCAAACTTTAAACTAAACGTGGTACAAACGAAATAAGAGGGGTGTGCCACCCTAGGGGCATCATATGGGCCCCACACAGGCACACGTCCCACTCATGGGTGGTATACACATGTGGGGGCTAGATCCTTGGTTCACAGATGTGCCCTTCCTAGTTCTGAAAATTTTGATAATACTTTTTTTAATGAATTTACATCAGAAATAAATTTTTAAAATTCTAAGAAAGTTTGTAGAAATTATAAGAACATTTCTGATACCAAAATAAAATATTTTAGAAGTGGACTGGTACCAATGGGTCAAAATTAGCGGCAAAAAATGCACTCCACTTAACCCAAGGACCATGATCCACTACTGTTTTCTTATCCAACTCAACAAAAGACCCATGACCCATGACCCACAGCTTCAATGCAAGGTTTCATGATTGACGTGTCAAAGTTGGATAATAAACAGTGGAACCATGATCCTAGAATGTGAATTTTAGTTCCCCTCTTTAAGAACAAGTCCAGTACTTGTCAATACAGTGCAAAAGGGGCTCTCTCTATGCAAACGTACATTTGTCCTTGTATGTCATACCGTGCGAAAGGTTGTTGAGTCTTTGGCCCTTACTCTCACAGACCTATGACCACACACAAGAGACCACACAATTCTCCTGGCCTACAAACATCATCCATGGGCATCTCTCCGACCTCAACAAGGGATGACCCATTGTAAATCCTTCTTGTAGTACCACATGCCAAGGGGTAAGGGTTTTGGACAAAGCCAGGGCCATAAACTGGCCAACCCTTGGTCAATCAACACACTCCCACTGAAGTGCATATTCTATTATAAAAATTCATTTTTACAAGCTCTCTGGACCTTTAAAGGCTACAAAATCCAACGCTGAGCACTTGCATTTTTCAGTGGTGCAAAGGGGAACTACGCTTTATGGCAACCAAGGAGGTGGAATAGGCATAGTCAAA